CATCATATGGTAGGGAAGTCATGAGTTGCTCTAAGAACTAAGGGCAAAATGAAATACCTTCACTGTCCTTGTATCTTTGCTAAAAATCACTTTTTAAAGCAGGTGGCGCAAATGGTGTCTGGTTTAGTAAATGATCACCTCTCTGTGTAAATACTGATGTACAATATATGCTACATTACTGAATGTGTATGCTAAAATAAATTCTTTTTTCATCTACGTTTTTTCCCTTCCATTATCTTCTGTTGTGGTTTTAGGTTTTGTCAGCAATCCCAATATTCCGGTCCGGTTTCTTAGGGGTATCTCTCGTGTTTATGCTTCTTTATGTCTGGAGTAGAGAATTTCCAAATGCCCAAATCAACATATATGGCCTTGTGAGACTTAAGGTAAGCTTAATTGTAACTTTGGCACATTTTAATTGGGATTCTATATATCTGCAAGCTTTCTGGGTCTGAGACTTTAAGTTCCTATGCATACTATTTCCATATTTATTGCTTCAGGCATTCTATCTACCATGGGCAATGCTGGCTTTGGATGCTATTTTTGGTTCATCTCCCATCCCAGATCTGCTAGGAATCATAGCTGGGCATCTATATTACTTCTTGACAGTGTTGCATCCTCTTGCAACTGGAAAGGTCATCCTGAAGACTCCTATGTGGGTGTATCCTTACATTGTTTGGTTACTTGATGTGAAGAGCATGTTTAGTAGTTTAACGGTTTCTTTTTTTTGTTTTTCCCTGTTTCCTGAAACGCAACATGAATTATCAACTCCTTATGTCATTTGTCAGTTATTCTGCTATTGATAGATTATAGATATATCTCATAAGAACATCAATTTCTTTTGTATTTACCTTTGCTTCTTGATGTTGTATTTTCTTTGACTACTACTGTTACATAGACACAAACTGGTTTCAAGGTGGAGAATAGGAGCTCCAACCCAGCCAAGCAGTCGTGCACAGCCTGATAGATCCACAGGTGTGGCTTTCAGTGGAAGATCAAATCGACTTAATGGATGATTGCTATACTCTCTGATATCTCCTTAGCTAGACCAGGAAGATTCACCTATTATCATCTAAAGTCCCCACTATGGACAACCTCGCCATTGTTTTTCTCTCTTTCAGCGCTGACAGAGAAGCAAAGTGTTAAATGACAGCTTATAACAAGTGATTTTTCAAGGGGTCCTAACTATCCAAGTTGTGATTCCTTTTTCTTTAAGCATTTAATTCACTTTCCATTATTAATGTATTTCCTTAAGGGAATTGACTTTGTGAAGAGATTGTGCAGAGAGGAAATTTCTGAAACAAACCATTGGTATAATATAAGTAGGTGGTTAATATCTGAACTAGAGTTTTACATGGACTCAAATTGATAGCATTGCATATTGTATTATAATGAAAAAATGAAGTTAATTGTAAAACTAAACATCAGTTCAGATATAATTGTTTCAAATAAAACTATAATCGTCTATCTTGTTGGTCACACAAGTAAAATTTTTAATGGTTATTGAAAAACAAAAATGAAGTATAGGAAGTAATAACAGAGAGAATAGAATAGAGAGTATAAGCGTTACAAATTTACAATGTGCAAAGCGCAATTCAATAGACGCAAAAATCGAAGAAAAGAATGTGGGCAATAAGACACGTGAAAAGAGAGACAGAAAAAGGGAAAAAAATAAAGAAAGAAAGAAAGGGCTGGGAGGGAGGGGTCATGGCCATGGGTGCTAAAATAATGGCGGACATGACTGGCAGTAATGAAAAGGAGCAAAACGGACGGCCGAGAAATCATCAAGTCGGCTTTTTCAAAGCCTTCCCCACCTTATTCCTCGCTTCCTTAAATATCGTCCCTCCCCTTCAACTTTCACTTCACCATTGCCAAACTCCCCCACCCCCCCCATAGCTCCCAACACAACATTTCTTAGTAGTAAAGAAAAGCAACTTATATCAAGAAAGAAAAATACTGTAACCCAGAACAATGTCGTGGCAAACTTACGTAGATGAGCACTTGATGTGTGACATCGATGGCCAAGGCCAGCACCTGACTGCCGCTGCTATCATTGGCCATGATGGTAGTGTCTGGGCTCAGAGCTCTACCTTCCCTCAGGTAGTAATTTACTACTATTGTTTTTCTAATTCCTTTATATATATTTGATCTGATCTGATTCAGTTGATACTGTTGCATTGATCCGATCGCTAATTGGTTATAAGTTCGGTATCTGATATAATTCCTTTGTTGTTTTGTACGCAGTTCAAGCCTAATGAGATCACTGACATCATGAAAGATTTTGATGAACCAGGCCACCTTGCCCCTACAGGCTTACACCTTGGTGGCACAAAATATATGGTCATCCAGGGTGAGCCTGGGGCTGTCATTCGAGGCAAAAAGGTGATGCTTTTAATGTACACAAATTGAAATTTACAAAAGAAAGTATTACCATTACGACTCAAAATATATAGTAGTATTTGTGATCAAACCACTTGCGCACAGCCTAACCAAGTGTGTATTTAATACGGAAACTGTATGTACTGTTGACATGGCAGGGATCAGGAGGGATCACTGTTAAGAAGACTGGACAAGCTCTCGTCTTTGGCCTCTATGAAGAACCAGTGACTCCTGGACAATGCAACATGGTTGTTGAGAGGTTGGGTGATTATCTTGCTGATCAAGGCCTGTAGACCTAGCTTCCAAATACTAAATGCCTTTTTCATTTTGAAGTTTTGAGTTCTAAGTTTGCATCTACTTCCATTGAAAACTATGGTTGTTAAGATGGCTTGCTGTTTGGCATTTGGTTCATCGACTTGCTTCCTTAACCTTTATGATATCTGCATTTTCTTTGTTTTTTTGGTTCTCTTTGTAATCCCCATCAGTGGTTCCGGTATCTATTTTTTGTTGGGCACAGTTTGATGCCATCGTCGTTTTCTTCTTCCTTTTTTTTGTTTTTTATTTTTTCCATGTTTTGGTTTGAATACAGCGTGCCAATTTGGTGTTTTTGTGAATGAGAAGATTGAGAGAAACAAATTTGAAGGTCCTGATCGCCACTTGCTTTCCTCACTGCAATCTTTATCCTGTGATTTTGTTATTTCCATATCTTGAATTTTAATCCCTTCAGAAGATTATGTGAAAGGCCAACACACCTTCAACTAACAACACTATATCTGGGGAGAACTGGGAAAATTATTTCCAAAACGTAATACTAAAAGAAACCTGGAACAAGTGTGGAGGCCCTTGTTCTTATCAGTTGCCTAAAAATCACAATCTCCTTCCAGCTTCCTGCATGGGCTGATTTCTCACATCCCTCTCCCTGGCCCAGATGCCTTGTATAAATCTGTGTTTGGTCCCAATTTAAATTTCTAACTTTTAGAAATTTAAATTTGCAAAAAAAATTTGAGAAGCGGTGGGGGAATAAAGTGACCTGTAGTAACTGGTGGACCCGGAAGCATTCGGAATTGCACTGTGAGGCCCATGCATTTGGGTGTGGAATGCGGATATCCCGTCAACAATGATCTATCGGACGTACCAGATCTATCCTTGGGACAGTGATGGGTGAGGAAATCTGTGCTGATTCTAGGTAAGATGGGGAAAAAAGGTAGTCCCAAACAAGAAAGTTGAGATTGATTTGCTTCGAGGAAAGTGTGAGAGATTGATTCTCAATGTTTTGCTTTTATTCAGATGGCTAGCTTTTGTCGGTGCAAATTTTGATACAAATCTGAATCTGTAGCTCACATATCTAATACACACGTCATCTTCATATGTTAGTCTCGACTTTAATGGGGAACAATTTCAGCTCAAATAAGCTTGATTTCCTCCTTTCCTTTTTCCTTTTTCTCTTTTGTGTTAATCATTTGCCTTAGGATAAGATGCTTTGCTGTTTCATTCGCCACACTATTTCCACTTGCTTTTCAGTAGTACTAACAAATAATGCCAACAATAAATTAAGCTAAAGGTTCTACCTTTTCCTTTAACCTTTTATTGTAAAGAGGAAAGGCTCCTTTCATCACTTACCCGAAGGAAAGAAGACTAAAATTCTTATACTACATATTTGATTAGGAAAATGGAATATATATATATATATATATATATTAATTTTAATGATTGATTCATGAGATGACCGTTCGGAGAGAAGTTCAAATAGTTATTATCAATCTCTCTCAGATTAAAATGAATTAAAAAAATTTTAGATAAAAATATTTTTAATTATTTTGAAAAATTACTATTTTGTATATAATAAAACTAAATCCTAACATATAAAAGCATTTCATTTTTTTTCTTTTTTTTTTCTCTATTCCTTATGTCATCAAAAGATGACAGCAATGGTAGATGGACGCTTCTAACAATCACATTTAATAAAGGCAAGCGTTGATCTAACGTTTCATTTGATTACATTTTCGGGACAATATAAAAGGAAAAGAAAAAAAGAAAAAAATGAAAATAGAAAATAGAAAAATTTAAATTAAAGTTTTATTTATAAATTATTAATAATTTTAAAAAACTTATCAAAAAATAATAATATTTCAAATTGCAAATCATAAATTATAATAAATGATATTGTTGTCATATATCACTTATTCTTTTTTCATTTTAAAGTTATTTTGTCAATCAAATATTTGAATAATGTCAAAATGATAATTTTAGAATCAAATTATGGAATAAGTATTAAGATCTTATTATATTCTCATAAAATAGTTATCCCATTTTACTAACTAAATAAATATAGAATATTTTTCTAAAGGAATAAGTATAGAATATGTAAATTATAATATATTTTACCAAAAAAATTGAATAAAGATATATAATTCCACGCAATTTCAATTGTGACCTTCCATTTTGGTGTGTGTGTTTTTTTTAATTTATGCGAATAACCCAAAAGAAGAAAAGGAAGGGAAAGGGGGGGAAATTGGGTCTTAAGTTAGGAAAAGGGTAATTGTGGCCCAAGGAGAGGAAAAAAAAAAAGAAAATTAAAAAATAGTAGTGTACCAGATCTCGTTGTTTCGACGCTATATCTCCGGGTCTCTCCCTGGGCTCAGCTTTGCCCCTTCAGTCAAACTCATTCTTTTGTGTTCTTTAAAAGGAAAAAAAAAAACAGGGAGACTTCAACAAAGGAAAAAAAAAATCCCAACTCAACAAAGAAAGAAACCAAAGAGAAATCCAGAGAAGAAGAAGAAGAAGAAGATGTCGTGGCAAGCGTATGTAGATGACCACTTGATGTGCGAAATCGAAGGCAACCATCTCTCTGCCGCCGCCATCATCGGCCAAGACGGCAGCGTTTGGGCCCAGAGTTCCAATTTCCCTCAGGTTTTCCTCCCTTTACTCTTCCTCCTTTTTTTTTTTTTGGCTTCGATTTTTCATTAACCTTTGCCTTCTTTGTTTAGGTATCCAAAAAAAAAAAAAAGGAGAGGTTGATGCTTGAGTAAGGGGATCTGATTTCTATGATTGAATTATCTGTGCATGATTTCTTTAAAAAAAAGACTGTGCATGATTTATTAGCTGATCTGATTTGCTCCAAAAGGAATGATATTTGTTCATTTTTTTAAAATTAAATTTGGTGTTTTTTTTTTCTTTTCTTCCTCGAAGTTCAAGTTGGGATTTTTTTGCTATGATTTATTAGTTTATGTTGCATGATTTATTGACTGATTTGTCCTTTCGTGCGCGGAAATCTGTTTGATTTCTGGGTTTCTTTCTGTTTCATCGTTTTAGAGGCATTAAACATCATTTTAATCAAATGAACTGAAGGTTTTCTAATGGATCGGAAATGTTCTGACTATGGATGGGGCTGTAGTTCTTCACTGAGCTTTTAAATAACCCAATTTAGTAAAAATGATCTCTGCAGATGACTACAATTTTAGCAATGATTATGCCACTATTTAAAGAGTGAAGTGCTTCGAACGCAGTAATCGTGTTTATTTCGATTTTAAAGCTAGTTTTCCTTCAAAAAGTAAGAAGTTTTGCTCTTTTTTCTGATCAACCCTTTGCTTATTGCTTGTCGTTTTATGTTTATTTCAGTTCAAGCCGGAAGAAATTAATGGCATCATGAATGACTTTGCTGAACCTGGATCACTTGCTCCAACTGGATTGTACCTTGGAGGAACAAAATACATGGTGATCCAAGGTGAACCAGGAGCTGTTATTCGAGGGAAGAAGGTGATCTTCTCCACCTGCTCTTGGTTTTACTTAGTTTATAATATTGAAAATCTCATGTGCCCAAGCGTTCTTTTGCAGTTTGTTCAATGGAAATAGATTTGTCAGTTGTACATTTTGTTCCGAGTGTAATTTGTAGTTAATCTTTTTGATAAGATGAAAATAAAAAAAAATTCATATACCACAGCATTTGTTTTATCGGTGAAAACCCAAAACTTCATTTTTAAACCTATGCAGCATTTAAGGGCGTAGTGAAGTGATATTGATGCTGATTGGCCACTCAAAATTAGGTACATTGATGTTGTTCTCTATATTTACTAGGGATGCACTTGGCTTCTGCTCTTACATTTTTCTATGAAGCTGTTATCTTGTGCCTCCAAACACTGACGAAGTGTATTTATCCTGAGACACCCTGAGGAAAGAAGGGAGGAGAAAGGATGAACATAGACCCTTTACTACCACTTTCTCTTACATTTGGTTTTGTGTTTGTTTTCTGAGCCTTTGTCATTTTAATTTCAGGGACCTGGAGGTGTTACTGTTAAAAAGACCAATCAGGCGTTGATCATTGGAATCTATGATGAGCCAATGACTCCTGGCCAGTGCAACATGATTGTCGAAAGGCTTGGTGATTATCTCGTTGATCAGGGTCTTTGATCTCTTTGGTGTGCCCTATTTGTTGCAATTCTTCTTGGCTTCTATACAAACGTGCATCTGCCACCCTCCTGTGGTAATGGTTGGGTGCAGTTAAATAATAGTATTACTAGTATTAAAGTCGTGGGGAACCTTTTCAAGAAACAAAAGGCTTGGTGTTTGTAACAGTGATGCTTATGATCCCTTACTTTGTTTCTGTACTTGTTTGATGGATGGTATTATCGAGATTGTCGAGTGAGGTATTTTGTTACAATGGATTTTCTAGTGGATTTGGTAAGTTTGTTGGCCGAGTTTTTCTAGTAATCTCATGCAGCCTGCTAAAAGCTTTAAGGCCTAGACGTACCTCAACAGTTTAAATGGAAACCTTCTCGGGATCATTTGACATACATGTCGATCCTGGCTCGGCTGGTAAAAGAAAGGTTTTTGCTGCTTTAGGCTTAAGATTTGAATCTTACTCCCACTGTTCCGAAAGTGCAAGCTTAACGATTGAACCGTTGCTTCACCTGTCTGGTGTTTTAACTGTCTTTGTTACCACACACCCTTGCGGTAATTAATAACTAGTTTGGGTTGTGAAGTTGGAAAAGGCTTTCTGATGGCAATGCGTGGTGCTTGCCAAGTTGACGGTGGACGTGAATTGAGAAGAATTTGCTAATATAATTGAGGAATATTCAATCCTCTCAATTTGCCATAGTGCAGCAAGAATGGGACAAGCAACTAAAATGGTGCGGACAGGATTGTAGTTGAAGATCCAATTATTTACAAGACACTATTTTCGAATCTTAGAGCACCTTCAAATTTCTAGGAAATGGGAATGTACGGTTGCGCGGATGGATAGCAACTACTGTATTGAACATGCGGATAAAGATGCCCTTTGGCAATTGACAGTTGGATGGCATCGTCAATCACGTTCATCTTATACTATAGTATCAACATTCAAACATTGAACCTTCGTTTGCTGGGGCGATGTAATAAGTGTTATCACTCTCGGGTGAAGGGCAAAGGGGTTCGATTAACAGGCCGAAGCATGTGACGTGGGCTATATCCTTCCTAGGATTGGGCTTTTCTCCAACTGGAAATGTTCACTTTAACGGTCTTCAAAGCATGGAATAACTATTTTTGAAAAATAAAATTAAAAATTGATTTAAAATTATATAAATTGTTATTATAATTTATTTTAATATTTAATTTTAAAAATAATTAAAAAACGATAAATACTAAAAATAATTTTTATTATAATATATGGCTTTTTATTTTTATTTTTATTTTTAAAATATTAATAATTGAAATTTTGAACATTATTTTTTTATAGATTTTTAATTTTTCCTTTTAGCATTTTGCTTTTGTCTTTGATGGGAAATCCCAACAAACACTCCCCGTCACTGAATGCCACCGCCTCCTGTTGAGAGACTTTGGAGAGAGAGAGATGGAAGATGGATAGGGACAAAGTGATTTTCAAATGAAAAACACCTATGTAATATATGATGATAATTTTTAAATTAATTTAAAAGTAATTTAGTTTAAATAGATTTTTTATCTATTCCTCCATGCTTGGAACAGCTATCACGGTGACCTCCTTGACAACAACTATTCAAGTTTCTTTAAAAATGACCATTCTTGGAAATAACTATTTTTGTGAAACAAAGTTATTAGAGGGGGCTCAACAATACTGGGAATGGCTATTCCATTCCCGAACCGAAAACGCTAGCAACGTAGTGGTATTAAGGGTTAAAAAAATTCGGACAAGAACCTCAGCCTTCTGACTTTTAACTAGCATGAAAATTGCAACTAACACAGGATACTGCAATCTCACCACATTTAACACAAGCAGCAATTGACAGCAGCACATACATTCTCATTTTACAGCATCTTGTCAGGACTCAGCACTATCAATACCGCATAAAAACTAGAGGCAGCGGCAAGTTCTTTCCCACCTCAAATTTCTTGAATCAATCTCTCTCATCTCGTTTGAGGCACCTTCATATCCATATCAGACTCCTCAACTCTATTCAAAACGATGCTTCTGCCACATTGCCCAGGTTCAAAACAAATGAGATTAAAGTCATTAGATAGAACGTAGCAATCAATGTGCACACTTCAGTCCGCGTGGAGGATGACGTATTAGCCATGGCAGTCGTATTACTTGCTGCAGTTTTGTTGACCCTGCATGAATATTACAAGAACAACTTTTAAGACATTGGATGGCGGGTGTCCAAAAGATGGGATCAAATCAAGGAAAGCAAGTATGAAGTGAAGATCTATAACAAAGAAAGAGGGGGGCAAAGTGAAGGATGACAATGAAAAAGGAGCTTCGGCAGGTGAGATATTTCAGAATCTGAGCTTACCCTCTAGTGGTCAGATAGATGCAATTATCATAGCCTGCACAAATAATTCAAAATTAGTTGCTTGGTGAGCAAAATCATTTCAGAATGGAATTCTGAAATGACACCATCAACACCGTATAAAATTAAATCAACCAATAGATGCAGGTAGATTCTAGACTTCAAAAATCATGCCAAAACTGAAGAGGCTAAAAGATAGCTTAATTAAAAGGTAAATGCACAAATTATAGTAGCACCTGAGTTTAGGCATGTTGGAGCAAGTTTGTTTAGTGTTATGTGAAAAATAGTTTAAAGGTTCACTTACTTAAGCTAATATTAACACCACTAAGCAGCTTAGTTGGCATGTAATATCAATTGGTATAATCGGGAATGTAATCAGATTGTGTGTAAAAAATAGACTTACTAGGATCCTTGTCAACTTTGACCCCATTTCCTCCAAAACTGCATGCAACATCACTAGCCCCATTTTGCTGGTAGTAACTGTTGAATGCGAAAGAGGCATGAGAGACTAGGTTATCTGGCTCAAAACATGGCTGGCTAGGCTGAATGGCAGAGCAATCCACATTTCCAGGACCACAAGCCCAATCTAGGGCATTTTGTAAATCTGATTCAGAAGCCTTGCCAGAAGCAATGCACCAGGCTGTTCTATTTGATTTGGTACCATTCCCACTATTTGTCATATCAACAGCACCTTTTCCAGTAAAGTCCAGATTATAGACACTAGTCTGGTCTGGATAAAACAAGCCCCAGTTTCTCTCTGATTCCATTCCAGGCTTCCTGTTCTCATTAAACAATGAGAAAATATACACATCTAGCTCTTCGCCAGGCTTGGCTGGAGTACCAGAATCATTGATCACATGACGAATTAGATTGGTGTTATAAGTCTGGGCATTGTCAGGAGTTGCAGCCTTCTCTTTGGGTGAACCTTTGGATGGCCAACCAGTTTCAGTGACCATAATCCTTATTGTTCTGAAATTTAGAGCCATCAGGGCAAAATAAAGAGCATCTATCTGGGCATCAAACATGTTTGTGTAAAGTAGACCAGTGTTTGGATCTATGACTTCTGAGGATGACTCAAACAGAGCATAATCCAAAGAGACATTGTTTGGAGAATCCCTATAAGCATAATAAGGATATAAATCAATCATAAAAGGTGACTGGTTTTCAGCTAGGAATTCTAACATAGGTTTCAAAAAATATGCATGGCTGCTGTTAAAAGCCCCAGCAGAAGGTGGAAATGATCGGGACAGAACCCCTAGGGAATGGGTACTCGAAACTTTAATCCTCTTGTGCAGGCCAACCTTTTTCAATGCCGTGAGGACATTTTGCATAGCAGGTACAACCAAGGCAGAGGCATTATCAGGGCTTTCTGTGACTTCAAGACCAACAGTGATGTATGTGATCTTTGTGGCTGGGTAGTAAGGAAGGATGCTATTCTTTAGCCAGGAATCTGCATTTGATTGGAACTGGGAGAATGCTAACAAGTCTGAATTAGGAACTCCAACCATAAGTTCAACTCCAGTGTTTGCAAATGCCTTCAGCACTTGGATATTAGAATCATAAATCCTGAGATACTTAATCTTGTGAAGTTGAACCAGTTGTGCTACTTTATCAGGTGTGGGGAGATCATCAGCGTTCCTTCCATAGCAAACTCCAACTATGCTTCCCCTGCAGAAATCTGACAGAGAAATTGGCATCAGATACAATCCTCAACTAATCATTCAACCCAGTTTAAAAGGCAGAGCAAGTGAGCAACCTTACATGAGAAAATAGTGGAAGGGGAGCTAGTAGAAATTCTTGTATAACACACAATGATTAACATGCATTTCCCAAGGAAAAAACAGAACATTGCATTTTTTTTTCCACAGAAAAAGATAACAAGTTTTAGCAAGCAATACGCTTACAATCATCACTGCTTCCTACATAATCCCAGCCAAATATGGCAAAAAAGTTTATACCTATTCCACATTGCAGGATGAGGGCAAAAAAAGATATGAATATATAATATATATATATATGAATAATAATTTATTAATATACTTTTCAGGTTAATGTCTTTAATGACCATTTTTTCTTCTCACTGCCACCACTACTTTTACCAAACAAACATTGTCCCACCATTGGTTATATCTCACCACTACAACCCCAATCTTACCATTTACAATGGGTGACTGTATTCATTGTCACCACTGCACCAACCCGGCCTTGGCTGCAGTTGCAATTGGGCACCTTACCGTGGGAACAATAAGGTGGGAAAGTTTCAATCGCACAGCCAAACACCTTAGTTGCCGTGCAAATGGCTCTTATGGCATGGCATTGGCGCTAATCTTGCTAATAAAGGGGCCCTTAGAAATGAAGAACTAATAATCAGACACGTGATTCAGCATTCTTCATGGAACGTGGTCTATCTATGATTGACATAAACTAAAGAAGATCATCAAGCGGTCCAACGATATCAATATTGCAACCTTGCTGTCCTAGATGTTGAAGCCCTACCTACTTGATAGAATGATCTTAAATGCAAGTGGGTAAACTTCAAGGATACTAATGCATCCGGTGGTCAACAAAGATAATATTTCTTGTTGCATTAAGACTGACTAGATAGATAACCCATAGAGCAAGTAATCAAAACAAGGAGACCCACAACAGAGGAAGGGAGTTAATAGGCAAAAAACCATTAAAAAGAGAGTGACTAATGAGAGAAAATAATGCAGCACAAGCGCAGTGCTAAAAAAGCTGAGATTTTTACTCAGAAGAAATTTGGGTACTCAAAATTAAATATTGAAGTCTGAAAAATATAAAGATCTCAGCAAAAGATTAAAAGAGATATGGCCAATAATAAAGCAAAATATTCCGGGAGAGAAAAGCACAAACTGAGGCACTGTTACTGTAATGCAAAAACACTGAAGAGAAGAGACAGATAGGAGCACAAACCTAAAAGTAGAAGCAACAAAGAAACTGCAAAGACAAGCTTGAATCTTGAAGCCATTGTTCAACTCAAAAAAACAAAAAAAAAAAAGGAAAAGGAATCCAAAGAATCTTCCTCTCTTCTACTTTACTCTTACTGGGTTTTACTCAACTAGGGTCTGTAAAACTTACAACGTTCTTCTTCTAGAGAGTAACGTCACTATTATCTCTCTCTCTCTCTCTCTCTCTCTCTTCTCAAAATGCAAAGCAGAAAAAAGCCTTCTCTCGGAGCTCGAGAGTGAGAGAGAGAGCGGAGCACTTAAGCTTGGCTGGCTGAGGCTTGATGTACGGTGTGTTTTGTGTCAGAGTGAGACAGTGCTTCGGACCGGATTTCACAATTAGTTTTATCAATTCCAGTTAAGAGAAGCTTGTCGATTCCGGTCCTTTGTCCTTGAGGATGTTTGTTCTCTTCTGTTTGCTTCTGTTCCCATTCCCCCACGTATTTTCTTTTCACCCCTATGCTTACTAAGTGCTACTTAAAATGGTCCACGTCCACTTCATCGCAACACAAATCTCCTCTATTATTTCTTCCTACTTTTCTCCCAGAGGTTAAATTTTTGTCTTTTTTTTATAAATAAATCATTACTCACTTACTTTTGTTGGATCATTTACTGCATCGACCATAATAAAAAGTAAATGCGTAAGTAACGGTCCTGAAAAAGTTTTACCCCAATTTTTTTTACTTACTTTCATTCTCATCTTTTTGTTTTAATAATGTCGTGTTTATCATTTTTTTTACTTTAATTTGTACTAATTAGTTCTATTTATTTCCTTTTACTTGAAAAAGAAAAAACATTTAGAAGGAACATAACACCGTGGAGATTGAAGATCATGAGTTGCAATAAAAAAGGTTGATATTTAAGTTCCATTTGGTAAGATTGAATTTTTTTTTAAAAAAAATTAGTCTTTATCTCTATTTGAAAGTGTAAAAATCCTTACAACTTAGAGTCTATTAGTTTTGACGTAAAATATTTTTTAAAAATCGTTTTTAATATTATGCTTATTTAAAAGATAAAAAATTATTTTAAATATAAAATATTTTACAAATCAATAAAAAAATTCATTAATCATGTAAAATGTTTTATACTCTTAAAAACACCTAAGACATTCTTTGAAAAACTAAAAAAACTCTTATACTAAGTATAGTTATATAAACTTGATAAATATTAATATTTAAATTTTAATATTAAAAAAATTAATATTTAATTTTTTTAAAATTAACTTAACATATTAATATTTAAATTATTCAATACTATTAAAATTAAAAAATATTTTTTAATGGAATCATTCAATACAATTAATATTTTAATTTATAAATTGAATAAATTTTACTAATAATTATAACAAAAAGCATTTTCATGGTCCTGATTTGATGAATATATATTTATAAATTAGGTTTTGGATATTTTACACATTTGATGAATATTTATATTTTTATATTATTATGATAAAAGAAAAAAGATGAGATTAATTTTTTTTTAGAAAATTAGAGCTTATTTTTTTTACAATATGTAATCAATGCTTTAGAAAATGTCATTATTAATATTCTCCATTTTCATTTCTATTCTTAATTTTAGTGTTTGTTTAGCTTGGTTTTTTTCAGCTTATATACATCTTAAAACCAAAAAGTTAGACCAAAAAAGATTTTAAGAAACTTTTAAAAAAACCATCTTGTACAAAATTGAAAAAATAAAAAAACTTAAACAAAAGCTCTAAAGAGGAGATTTATCTTCTCTTCTTTTAAACACAATAGCGTTTTAGGAAATGTCTCTGTCTTTTCTCTCCCTCTTTTTGTATGTCACCTTTCTCCAATGCAAATTGTCTTCTCCCTTTCCTTTATCTTTCTTTACAAAAACTATTAAAAAAATAAAAAACATAGCAATAAAATAATAAAATTTTATTTTTTTTTGTTCTTATAAAAAAATTTAAAATTCAATGCTGCATTCAAATATTATTTTAAAATTTTTTTCTTTTAAATGATTTTAATATTAAACACATAGTTTCGTTTCCTATTTTCTCTTGTTTCTTGGAGAATTGAAGCATCATGGACCAATTACTTGCTAATCAATAAAAAACTAATATTATTACTATTATACAAAGTTTGAAAGCTATTTCATTTTTGTATAGATTTTTTTTATTTTAATATCTAAAATCATATAGACCAAACAGGCTCTTAATATGAAAACAAAATGATACTATTGTTTTGTAATTAATTCCTATTTATTATTTTAACACCTAAATAACTCGCTAGTAATGATGAAAAATATTTTTCACAAGATGATTCAAATAATAAAAAATATTTTAGATAATTTATCTAAATAATTAAAAATATTAAATTCTCTTATAAAATGTTTTGCACAAAAAAAAATCCTCAACGAGTTATTTTCAAGTTACCGAAGGAACCCTTAATAAAAAAATAGCTCTCGCACTTAAAAAATAAGGTAATACATTTTTCATTTAACTTTTCTCTCTATTGATCCCATGACAAATATTATCTTCCCTTTCTTGTGAGATCAATCCTATAAAGTAATAAAATAATAACAGATTATAATTATTTAATCTCTTTTTTAATATTACTTTGTTCAACAAAGTATCATTAATTATTTTTATTTAATTATTTTGTAAGGATAGTATCATTTTAATTATTTTTTCTAAGATATTATGATTTTTAATATAATACAAAATAATTAAAGTCAATTAAAGAAATTTTTTTTTATGTAAAATAGAAAATAAGTTTTTCACACATGAAAATTTTTTATTTCTTTTAATTTATAACTTATGATTTATTGACTTAACAAACAAACTAGTATAACAATATGATGAGAAATAAATAAATAAAAATAATTAAATATTATTGACATAATATAGTTAGTGTTGGAAAAGTATTTTGAATGTACTTCATAATTGATGAATGCTAATATTTTTAGAGTGTTAGAGTAGAAAATTATTGAAGATAGGTCATGATAGAAAATAATTTTTACGAGATGATCTAATCCATTGAAAATATTTTAATATTTTATTCAAATAACAAAAAAAAATAAAATAAAATATTTCCCACAGTAAAAATTTTCTTTCAATAAGTCATTTTGTTGTATTAATGCTTTCCACCTTCTTAAATATATTTCTATATGAATGAATAAAAAAAGTAATGGATTGGATTGGATTGGGCCAGGCAGCAACAGCTTCCATATAAGTCGGGCCAGCATAACATGACTTGGTGGGCCATCACCCTTGAGACCAGATCAGAGACGATAAAATGGGCTCAGAATTGGACTGAACTATGAAAGCAGTCGAATTTTTGTTGAGGTCCCAAGTTACGAGCCCAATTGAAAGGTTTGTTTACAATAACTTCGTAATATTAGACTAACTTAAAATAACAAATATTTTAAATAAATTTAAATAGAAAAAATAATATATATTCATATATCTAACAAACAAAAAAAATTATCTTTTTAAGTTTAAGTGTATTATCTAGATTAGCCCATTACTTTCAAATGTAATGTAAAAAATAATACCTTCTCCCACTAATAGTTATATTTATTATAACTATCAAACGCATATTTTATTACTTATCTTCACTTCTTCCTTTTTACAAATAAAAATATAAAAATAAAAAATTTGAACAAAACTGATCCACTTTTTATCTACTTTATAAAAAATATTAAAAATACGGTAAGGCCACATAACATAAGCTTATTGTAGATGTGCCGCTAGTTGAAAGTTGAAACGTTTCCCATGATCCGAAATTTGGGTAATCAAAATATAAACACACAGAATCAAGTGGAGTTGCTTTTCCATATTGGGTCATCCCACTATAAGTTTGAAAGCCCGTCCACATAAGATTACTTCTAGGAGTATATAATTTGCCCTTGCTGTTTTATTTGACTTGTCTATATTATGGGAGAAATTAACATAAAAATAAAATACATAAAAATTGAATTAAAATTTTACGCGGTCTTTCCCGTTTGAATTTGTGTTACTCCAACGAATCCATCACCACTTTCTCAATTAATTAAAAAAAAAAAACTTGTTTCTCTCTCTTTTTCTGAAGAGTCCGTTATACAAACCCTAACCGAATAGTTATATTTTTTGTTTTTCAAAAAATTGAAACGAAGAAAAGAAAATGAAGAGCAAGAAACCATTGAAGCAACTGAAGCTCTCTGTTCCTGCTCAGGAAACCCCAATCTCTTCTTTCCTGTAAGTTCTTTTGCATTTTTTACTATTCCTTAAGCATTTATAGAGATTGCTTAGATTTTGGTTTCGAACAGCGCTTTTTAATTTTCTAGGAATCGCTTTTTGAGTTGAAGTTTTTGGATTGATCGGTTTATGGTTTCCTTGCATTTGCATTTGCTCTGTTTTGATGGTAGCCAAATGTCGGTGAAAGTATTTTTGAATTTGAAATTGGCTATAATATCCTCAGGACGGCGAGTGGGACATTTCATGATGGTGATTTGCTTCTAAATCAGAAAGGCTTGCGGCTCATTTCCGAGGAAAAAGAATCTCGAGTAAGTTTTAAGCTAATCTAGAACCTTTATCTCAGCTTCAAGTCTGCTTCTGCTTCTTTTAGTACTGTTAAATTTTGCTGCCATTTTAGCTTTAAGCAGTTTACTTTGTTCATGTAATTCACTTATGATCTGTCTGCCCATGGATAAACTGTTACTCAATTGTTTTTGATTGATATTAGTATTGTGTTTCAAGTGTACCTCTGATTCTGTTTTTCAATTACTATGTTTTACTCCGGCATCTTTCTTACCCTTAAAAAAACAAGAACAATATTGATGATTAAAAGCTGGGATTGTGTTCAAATTACTTGGAATTTGGGAAACCGTGGAGAAGGGTGCTGCTATGCTTTCCATTAGTATCTAATTCTCTAACTTTGGACTCTCGGACCAATTTAGTTATTCAGGGTCTTCTTGCTTCTTCCATTGTTTAGTTTACAATTCCCCTCCTTCCGTCTTCGGTTCTTCCTACCTCCCTCTGCCCTCTCCCTTTCAAAATCCTTGCTATTTTCCCTTTCTCTCTACAGTCCGTATGTTTTGTGTTCGTGGTTGGATAAACATGTAGTTAACTATTTGTGGTACACAGCATTGTTTGTTCAAGTTACCATAGGATTATTCATCCTTCTGCTCTTTAGAATCAACTTTCTGGGGATTCAAGATATTCTTTTTTGGATTTTTTTTTTTTGAACAGCCTTCTGACGGCAAGGAGCTTGATTTTGATTTCTCATTGGAAGACCTTGAGACCATCAAAGTTATTGGGAAGGGAAGTGGTGGTGTAGTACAACTTGTCCGCCATAAATGGGTTGGAAGATTATTTGCCTTGAAGGTAATTCTCCAAGACCGACAAACCTTTTTCAGTTGCTTGTTAGTTTTTGAACTTGCTCTTAAGAGACTCTGCTGATATCCTTATTGTCTTTAACTTATAATTTAAACCAGGAAATGATGTTATAGGATTTATCAGTGTTCCTCCCCCTTTCAAGTCATATAGGATGTGAGAATTTCCTAATAGATGTAAAATGCGGATCATGATAGTTTGTGGTGAGAGGGTGGCAAAGAAGGCATGAACAGTATTATTTACGACCTTGAATGCTGGTATCATTTTCACAATGAAAATTTGAAATGTAGTACTATTTTGTTGAAGATCTACAAGAAAATAGAGGGAAGGCCTGTCCTATTCCTATACTTCTTATTTGTGCTTCATACTGTAGTACAGATTTACACCAAAAGGAATATGTTAGCCTGTGCTTCTCTTTTTTTGTATGATTTAGATGTGGCCATGTCTTCATAATTGTTTGATTTCTAGAACTGCAAAACAAAATCCTCAAAAGACAAAAAACCATTTTAAAATTTCCCTTATTTTGACTAAATATTGAAGTCTTCACTATTTTAATTACAAATGCATATCCTGTATGTTGACATAAATATTGCATGATAGTAACAAATTTTGAAATGCCTAGAACATTGCCATTATTAATGAGGGAAATCAGATACCAGGAAATTCATTGGGCTATGTAATGCAGGTCATCCAAATGAACATACAAGAGGAAATTCGTAAGCAAATTGTGCAGGAGCTTAAAATAAACCAAGCATCACAATGTTCACATGTTGTGGTTTGCTACCATTCTTTCTATCACAATGGAGCCATATCTCTTGTGCTAGAATACATGGACCGTGGATCTCTGGCCGATGTGATCAGACAAGTTAAAACGATTCTTGAACCATATCTTGCAGTTGTGTGTAAGCAGGTATTCTTCCTCCTTGTCTATGGAAATTTTATGAATGACCTAAACAAAAGTCCTAGCAAAATCCAAAGAAGTGCGTTCTTCTTTCTACTCATGTAACTTTATTTTTCAGGTCCTACAGGGTCTTGTCTATTTGCACCATGAAAGGCATGTAATACACAGGGACATAAAACCATCCAATTTACTGGTAAACCATAAAGGGGAAGTGAAGATCACTGATTTTGGTGTCAGTGCAATGCTAGCTAGCTCCATGGGCCAGAGAGATACATTTGTAGGGACTTACAACTACATGTCGGTATGTGGAGTTTCCACTGTTAAAATCACTTTGTAACCTTTGGTTTGTCATTCATCATAGCATCTTGTTTCGCTGCCTGTGCTTAGCTATTTCAATGCGTTTATCCTCTCTAAGATTTGATATAAAAATTTATCTTAATTCATCCTCTTCCGGTTTGTAGCCAGAGAGAATTAGTGGGAGCACTTACGACTATAGCAGTGATATTTGGAGTTTGGGCATGGTCGTGCTTGAGTGTGCCATTGGACGTTTCCCATATATGCAATCTGAAGATCAGCAAAGCTGGCCTAGCTTTTATGAGCTTTTGCAGGCAATTGTGGAAAAGCCTCCACCAACTGCTCCACCAGATCAATTCTCTCCCGAGTTCTGTTCATTTGTATCAGCCTGGTAAACACTTACATGTTTATTTTTCATTATGTCATATCATTCAAGAGATCGCTCAAAGTTGCTCTCTGAGTGCTTGTTTTCTAGTATTCTGTCGCCATTGTCTAGGCTTCTAGTGTAAGCTAGCAACCCTCTCCATTGTCTAGGCTTCTAGTGTAAGCTAGCAACCCTCTCCAATATGCTATCCACTTATGGAGCATGTAGCAAGAAAAACTGGTGCATGAGTTCATTACATGATGTAGTCCCGCCTTTTCGATATCTCTAGAATCCAAAATCTGATCCTCAGAGGCTTATGGATATAGTAATATGCTACAATTATCTTTGAAGACAACCCATATATCCCATACTTGCCTTTCGTCGTAACTTCCTGAAGTATTTGGACAGCAAAATCTCTTGCGAGTTACATATTTGTTCTTTTTTTGTGGCATATTCTTGAGAAGCTTTTACACTAATTTTCATTTTCGTTACATAATATTCCTCGTTACACTAAGTTTCTGCATCATTCAGAACAACATTTCACATTGGGGTCACGTAAATTAGAATCTCCCATTTTTTGTCGATATTGGTTTCCCTTCTTATTATTGGCATATTCCATTTGCTTTTGTCGTGATCGATAAACAGTAATGAAATTGCCTTTTTCCTTTTCCACTTTTAGCATACAGAAGAACCCTCGGGACAGAGCATCATCTTTGGGCCTCTTGGTAAGTTCACATGGTTTACCACAAAGTCCATGATCGATTCTCAAAAGTTCTACATGGAAGAATTTCCTCCCTAATTTAAAACATTGATTGAAACTTCTTTTGTTCTTGTAGAGTCATCCCTTCATCAAAAAGTTCGAAGGCAAAGACATTGATCTTGGGATTTTGGTAGGTAGTTTGGAACCTCCAGTGAATTACCCAAGATAATCTGCCTCGTAGCAATATGTTTTTGAATGTAAAATGTTTTGGTCGTGCATCACTCTTCATCTTGTTCAAAGCATACATAAAGAATTTCTTGTAGCAATTTCCATCTTATGCTCTCCTATATCAAGGTTTAGTATTTCAACTATTCAACAAGTTTCCTCTCTACACATTGATAACAATGACCTAAGGAAGAAATAATCTGTTGGGCAGAGTAGGATCTGTGGGTATTAAACCTGGGGAGAAGAATAAACAGCAAAAGGGTTGATTAGGGTTCAAAGCTGTGGGCACTAAAAGGGGATAAGAATTAGAGAACAAGGAGGGCGAGGCCTACCAACAAAAGCATGTGGTGTCATTTCCACTGCCTATCAAATGCCCCTACTTCCCATCATGATTTATTCCCAGGTCAACCTTCTTATCCTTACCAACCCACCTCTAAAAGATAATAAATTAAATACAGAAACCCATCAATTGTAAGAAATAAATACTAATTTTATGCATTGGCAATGATCTGTCTGAGTTAACACCTAACGACCTTTGGGCATGGATGCAGCTAAATTCTGAATGAAACTAGGAATGCCCCACGGAAAATTGTTTTCAACTTTTAGAGGAAATGCCGCCATGGCCAGGCTTGGTTTCTTAAAAGAATGCACAGCTTGCGTTGCTTTTTTGACCATACAAAAATTAGCTGTTCCTAAAATAGAAGACAGTTGTAATAAGGAGAGGTATAAGACATGGAAATCATTTGATGAACATCAAGATCCTATTCACCAGCTGGCAAGTAAAAGCTCCCTCAATCAGACAGCTGAAATCATTGATTCTCTCCATCTCAACGCCAAATTTTTCAAGATGGGTTTTGAACATCTTCTTCGTATTAAATAATTTACAACAAGAAATTGAGCTTGTTGATGCCTTAACCTCGTGAGGAATTTATGAGGAAACTGACAAGATTAGTGGCTTTCCATATATAGCCACAAGAATTTAATTTAATTCTTCTTTTTTTGTCCAATCGTAAGCAAATTGAATTGAATGGTAAGCAGGCACCACAACAAATGGGAGGAAAACAAGGATTAGTGGTAAAAAAACAGAACACCTAAACCCACCAAAAAATGTTTCCCTGAACTATTGTGGAGGTTCTTGTTTGTACCAATGCATCTAGAGATTCCTCCATTGCCTTGGCAAGTTTTACAATGTGATTGCCTTGAGACATGCAAACATGTAGAATGTGTCATGGCTTTTTGAGGCAAATTTGCCAAAGATAGTGACCTGATTTTCAGCCAAACAAAAAAAAAGGATGATGACTAGGATATGGATGCCTTCAAATGTAGACCTTATCCGATTTCCTAGTAGTATGGGAAAGCTAATAAATTTAAGACCATAGGGAGATGATAATGACAAATCTTGGAATACAGGAACAGAAGGATAAATAAATAAAACCATAAACAAACAAATACAGGTCAAGATTATCCAATCCTTACATATCTATCACCAAATATTATCAATAAAGATTGCTATTTTTTTATTATAAAATGTAAATCAGGAATATCGAACAGGTATATATATCTGTATATGCTCCCTCCATGAAGACCACATGGTATATAGGGCTTTCAGAACTCAGATCTCGTTCTTGCAATCCAAATGGGTGAAGAAGCAAGCCAAATGTTTCAAGATATGAGTCTGAAGAAAATGGATAGAAATGAAGCTTGGTGCAGTAAGCTAACGATCATGGAAGGAGGTAATAATGAAATAATTGACTCCATATCCATTGAATCCTCCTTTGAAAATTCAGAAAACTCCATTTCTTCAATATCTTCATCAGACTTGGTTGAGGATGCATCTTCTGCAACATCATCATCATCGTCATCATCTTTATCATCCAATGGGCCTCTCTATGAGTTGTCCGAGCTCATGGCTCAACTACCTATCAGGTAAGCAATGTGATCTTTTTCTCCTCTCCTTTCCCTCTCCAAATTATGCAGAATGCAAAAGGATTGAGATCAGTGGGCTTGTTTTAAACATGCAGGAGAGGTCTTTCTAAACATTATCAAGGGAAGTCTCAATCTTTCACATCTCTAGCAAGGGTGAGGAGCATAGAAGACCTTCCAAAGAAATTGATTCCTTGTAGAGCGAAAATGAAGTCATGCAAGAGCTATGGATGGGGACTAGATGCTCACAACAAGTCATATAGCCCTAAAGCTACGATATCAAAGAAAGGTTCCCGGGGTTGTTCTATGTCTTCTCTTGGTAAGCGAAGCAGTAGTACTTTCGTGATTAGTGACTGATTGTAAGCCTTCCATCTCCCATTGCACAACAACTTTCTAATGTGCACAAGATGGGTTTTTGAATGTATAGCTTTTTGATGCCATAAAAGAAACTATTGAGCTCATCATTTCTGAGGATTCTTTTTACAACTCGTCTTCACGCAGCGAGAGAGAAAGAAAGACATATATGGGATATGAAACATGAATAACGGAAGCTTTAATTCAAGCTAGCTATTGAGTTGTTGGGAGGCAGCATCGAGGATTTTTGGGGAGCAATTAATTTAGCAATTACCTTCTTTTATGATGAAATACCATCGTCTAAAACTGAAAGCATGATGAATCAATGGCATTTTCATTTATGCGGGAAGAGATAGAGAAGAAAAACCAGCGTTGTTTAAAAAATATTTTTAAGTTTTGAATGAATCAAATTCAGTCGCTGATAACTTTTGTCAATGGAATTCATCTTCGAACTAAAATTGAGAAGGAATAGAATACATGAATCCACAAAGAGTCGGCATCACGGACAAAAAGTTGTGTTTGGCATGGACACATTATCAGAATAATCCAAAATCCCATCTTCTCAATAATAAAATAAGGGTACCCAGCCATTGACAATAAGAACGGATTAAAGTAAAGATGCATATCAGTTCTTTATGTTGCGAAAAGGATTTGAACTTTAAATCAATTTTTTTTTTTAAGACCAGTTTTTCCCTTTTCTTTTTAATCTTTGAAGGCCACTTCAATGGAGACAGCTATCCCTCCTGCCTGTTGTTAGAGAATTAAAACGATTAAAAGTGCTGTTCTTGTTTTAATAGGCAGAGATATTCATTAATTTCATTGAGGACGGGTACAGAGGCTTGCTGTACAAATGCCTCAAGTGGGAAGTATTAAAGCTGGCGTCTTTTTCAGAAACCAAGCAGCTAAATGTCCAAAAGTATATTACGTGCACAATCAAAATTCTCCAAATAAATAACTAATATGATCTGTGTACAATTGTGGAGGCTCAAAGTACAGACGGTATATGAATTTTTATCCCTTTCTCAAGAGGTTGTAAGTTTACAAAATATTATATCTTGTAAATTGGTGTAATTCCCAGGAGATTGAAACACTTTCTCATGACCACAGCAGTTGCTTCACATAACAATAGCCGGCTCGTTTCCATATCTGACCCGATAACCTGACCAATTTATCAACCAGAATTTACATGATAAGGCTAGCAACAGTTAAATCTGCATGCATACACTTTTGTTCATGACTTCTAAGTACATGCCACGATGGTTTTGACAAAAAATTGGGGCTACCTACAAAATTTTCTTAATTTCGAGATAGGGTATGTGGTGGTAGAAACCGCTATCTTCTAAAGCTAGTTTGTTCTGCCCTCTTGTAAGGGCAGCAGGTAACAATCAGACCACCAACATTACACTACCAAGAAACTGTAAATTAGATTACAGATCATACCTTGCACTCGGGGTTGCTATAAAATTTTGAGAAGATTTCTGATAAATTATACAGGTAGTCACACAAAACATTTGGTAACAGATTGGTACAGGCCTCTTCAACAACCTGAAAGTTAGATAAAATGTGTCAAACCAAGCCTGGGTCAAGAAGCAAAGAATTGATTTGATCTGAGTTCTTACCTCGGCGAAGTGAAGCAAATGAAGCCCCAAATCACGCTCATCCTTGTGCCCCAATACTACTGTCCCCTTCTGTTAGAAATAAACAGATACAGAAAGGCAGAAGTTTCAGACATTGAATCTGCTACAAACGAGTAATGCTACTAACCTTATGAGAGCATACAAAAATAGCTGCCCCTCCAATTTTTAAGTGAAAGATCAAGATTTAAAACCCATATGTAGATAACATTGCAAAATATATTCCACACCGTCCAAAGATACAAAACTATAGAAAGCCTCAATTCTTTCTGCAAAAAGAACTGGTTGTTCTTTTGATGTCAATACAGGTTGGATGCACAATAACAAGTGCAAATGCAACTAACAGTGTAAGGAAGCTACAGCTTCAGGTTAAGAGGGAACTTACATTCTTCAGTTCCTCAATGTCTTTACCAGATCTCCTGATGATTGAACAGATTCGAGCATGAGCATACAGCAAATAAACAGCAGTGTTGCCCTGTCACAAAAAATTTTTAGAAGGCAAGAATCAGATGCTAAGGGTGATTGTAGTGATATAGAACAGTAATGACACTAGTAGGATTAGGACCGGTCAGCAAACAACAATCAAAAGAAAAAGGGGAATAAAACAGAAGAAACCTTCAGCAAAAAAAATTTCATTAGAAACACAAAATGATAAAACAATATAGCTTCCCAAAATCTGCAGTCAAAAAGCAAGAAAATTGTTTAGGCACCTTATCGTTAAGCATCTGGTCAAAATTAAATGTGTAATTGGTCAATCTGTTGTTCTTCAAGTCAGCATACCTGTAGTCAGAATTCAAGAATATTAATACAATACCAACATGGAACAAGAAATAAAAAGAACGTAGGAATAGCAGTAAGAGGAACAAGTTTATATCATGATAAGCAGCTCACTTTACAGCACCATAACCAACTGCCTCAGCAGTACTCTCAATCTCCTCCTCAGTCCATTCTTCACCTTTACCTGATCAGCACCCAAGCAGCAATTTCAGATACATGAAGTTTGACAACAGCTAGAACTTGCATTAACACATACATCACAAATAGTTTTACAAACATAAGGAACTCAAAGAGAGCTGAGAAACATTTGTGACAACAGAGATAAGGTTCAATACCATACCACGCTCAATAAGTGCTGCTTTGCTTCGACTCTTGGCTTCATCAAGTAGATCAACTAATCGAACTACTTCAGTGTTACGGGTTCGAAAACGCTTGCCATCTTCTCCAAGAACAAGGCCAAAACCAACATGGCTAGTTTTGGGATATGAACCATCATCGTGTGGAAGCCACCCAGCACGTTTGGCAGCCTGAAAGAAACCAAAATAATGTCAGGCCTATAGCTAGAGGTCAAAAGTTGGAACAGCACTTTATGATCCTTTATTTGTAGTATTCCACAAGCATCAATCTAGTAGTTGTACGTAATTAGAATAAAGGGAAGTTTCACTTCATTAATACAATTTTTTAAAAAATTCTCATAAAAAAATTAAGAAAACAGCTTTGAGTACATACTTTGAAGAACATATCAAAATGCTGCTGCTGGCCTACATCTGTTACATATATTATCCAATCAGCTTTCTCCTCGTTGAGGCGATACCTACAAATTGAAGTAAAAAGATTGATGCAAATATGCTGATTAATTCCTATGCCTAGGCTAACATGTTCCATATCAACACAGCAAAACAGTAAACTTTATAAAACAAATGCCATAATTAGTAAAACAGTAAACTCCTCAAAGCATATTGGCCTAAGATTAACAAGTAACCCAGCAGATCAACATAGAAAAGGAAACAATAGCAATGAACCATCTAAGTTTACATGCTTCAGAATTTTTAAAAAACCAGCTGCACTTTGTAATGTTAGCCACTCTAATTTTGGTTGTGCAATAAATCTGACACACTCACATATTCTGCAAGAGACACAAAACAGCAATAAAGACTTATAAAATCATATTCAAGGAAGAAAACTTACCAAAGAGCAGCCAGATCAGTTGATGCATAGTTGAAACCACCGTCACTCTTCACCACAATAAGAGGTATATTAACACCTTCAATAAAGATCACACGAGCTCCCTGACTTTCCTCTACCAATCCTTGTCTGGTCAATGCCTCTATAACCTCAGGAATGTAGGGATTATAAAAGCTCTCCCCCTGTCAACAAGGAAATACTCATAAACATGCAAATTCGGAGCACATTTGCACTATAAACCGAACTTGGTAGTTTACACAAATTTAATGAGGTTATGGGAATCTTGCATTCAGCAAAAAGATATAATTCCTCCACTATCACTAGCTCAGTTGAAAGTCATCAAGTCATGTAATTATGTGTAATTGCATTTGTGTAAGCATGTAATTGTCTATAATTGCATTTGTGTAATCTTTGTGGTGACTATATATATGTTCAATGAACATGTATATTTACAGTTTGTACAAGATTGAAGATGATTATATAGATAGGCCCAAAATATAAAGACAACGTAAAAGAAAATCATAAGGAAAGAGATTTCCAATGACCCCTGAATGTTATACAGAGAATTTCATATAAAGCTGCACCTGAAAATTTGCCAAGCTGGCCTCAGTATCATCAATACATAGAGCTTTAGGCAGAGAAATTACCTTTTCTTCTAGATGAACTCCAAGCCGCTGATAGACCTTATGAAATTCATTCCGGCTGATTTCACATATCTGTGCCCATGCCCTACGATACTTGTCTTCTCCACCCTGGAAATGAGTTTAAGAATAGCAAATGTTGCAGAGAGCAATTCAACTATTAATGAATCCAAGTACATTCAGAGAAATCAAACCCACGAATCCTTTTAAAAAATCAATATTTTACCTGAAGGCGCACCACTGCCTGTTGGGCTCTCTCCTTGAATGCAGGATCAGCATCAAATCTCTGCTTTGATGCTTTATAAAATGCCTAAGAAAGTCAACCTCAAGTTAGAACTACACAATCACTTGACTTTGAAAATCAGTATGCCATCTTTTTCATTCATAAAAAAACTAATGTACGAAGAACAATCAAATACGTTAAAATGATATTATCTCATACTAATAAGAAACAAAAAAGGAGCTATTGATGCCACATAGGCAATCTATTTGTGTTTGGGGCAAATAAAAGATAAAGAAAAGATTAACTATCAAGTTCCAATATGGATTAATATGATATGCATACAAAGAGCTATTTTTCAATGCTTATTCAAGATATGTTGCTTAATTAGAAATAAAACTTAATGAATGAACATTAATAAAAGTTAACACTCATAGCAAACTTCATTGATACTTTATCTTGTAAAAAGGCAGTGCCTCTAAAACAAAACACACACAGAAAAGAAAAAGAAAGTGAATCAGCAATTATTTGCTCAGTCCATGCTAGCAATGCTTTGCATATTTCCCCTTCAGCTTCAAAATTCAAAGGAATTTGATAGTTTGCACTCACCTGTAGATCTCCAATGGCAGTTTCATTAGCATCTTCAAAGTTTGGAAATTTTTCAAATAGAAACTCAATCAGCATGCCAAACTGCAAACAAATACGAAAGTTATCAAGATTGTTACCCACGGATACATTGCAAAGAGATATATAAACGTCTCCTTGAACAGTGGCAGACTTTAAAAGAAATTAAGGGTCAATGCATATGGCAAGACTACAATAAGATGAAGGACTACAGTCCATTTCAATCATGAACAGCATCCAAGAATAGATACAAACTTCAGAATAAGATGAATGCTTAAGCCCTTATCAAGCATGAACAAGAATCCATGCTTTCTATGCACAATTCAGAACCAACACCTACCTGTGTCC